CAAAAACTATTGATCTTTAATCCATATTTTTTTAATGTTTCTTTCCCCTCCTTAAATACTGTGTATTTACATATTTTTCTTTATACATTAAAAATCTGTGTTCATGGTTAGTGCAAATTTAAGTGACATGACTTTCTATTTCAATTTTTATTGCTGAACTCATTGTATATGCTTTCAGACTTTACATGATTCACATACCTTCTCGCGTTTATGCATGTTGTAATATATCCCTATTTTTATCCAAAAGTTGCTATTACTATTATTATTTACTTCATAGTTTTACGTATCATTTTCCGGTTGTCTCTCCGGACCTCTAGGGGGGGAGCCGTGTTGAGTACGTAACAATGTGATTGTACACTTTTTGGTTACTTGTATAAATTCGAGATATTGTACATAATTTTTGTTTAAATCGCTTCTTGTTGAAATATACATAACTTCCGTGTACAATTGAAAAATACACTCTGCTGTTGGAGACTTCGTCTTCTCCCTGGTCACTTCTGCTTACTTGCTCCACTCACACCGTGTTGTATACTTCGGATTTATTGTAGGAGCCTACTACTCTCAACCGAAGACATTTCTACAACCGGAACACAGCAGCTACAGCAGACGCAGTCCAAACAATTAACGTGCCCGTGGATTATATAATTAATTTGTAGTCGAGGACTTAGACGTTATCTACAAGTAATCCTTTTTGTTGCTATAACTCGTCACTGTATTTTTGGTAATATATTGTGATTTAACACTCCACTGACTTGGATTATTACTTTTATACTTGGAATGTTAGTGAACTCTAATATTAGTCCCCTACAAAGGTGTCCTGTCACTGAGTAGGTATAGGTTCCCTCGTGGAAATCCCAGATGGATAGTTCACCAATGGGCAAGGATCCGGGTGCGCTCCCACTTCTTTTCACTGTGGGTTTGCCGTCCTTGGAGTTCCTTACCGGCAGATGTAGTTATGGCACCGTCTGGGCCCGCCTTTAAGCGAAGACTGGACAATCATGCAGTGACACAAGGACTGTGTCCAAATGGCCTATCCTCTAAAAATCGTCGTTTAACTTCTTTGCATTCTCTCTCGTCTTACTCTCCTGACAATTTCAACTACACCTTTTATTTTAATTATTATCATTATAACCGATATATATATATATATGTTATTCTTCAAATTTAATCAGCTCACTGCTGTTGCGTTTTCTTATTTCTTTTTCTGTCTTTTAGTCTGAATAACTTCACTAATTATATCTATCATTATTACTATCTCTTTTCTTCTGACGACGTTACCAGAGGACTTACAGGTGATAGGATCAACTCCATTCACAGTAGTTACAGTCTTAATACACCTCATACTGCAAACCACACATAATTAATCCCAGCACTACTCCTTTTGGACTCAACCAAAGCTACGACAGTCGAGTGTCGGGACGAAGTACGCAGAAGTTTATCGAAGATCAGGAATCTATACCTCACAATCAAGAGGCGAGCACAAAGAAATTTAGTTGGCATATACTAGCTCGTAAAAGCGATATTGGATATTGGACACACGCTATAGGTGGGCGATTTCGATAATTATTTTGATGCGACGGCCGGTTACAAACGGGGAAGTGCAGAAGGGACTTATGGAATCTTGGCATTATTCACCTGTCGAATAGCCCACGAACATCTTTATGTGGAGTTAAAGAAGGACATCTGCTAAGTGAGATACGTCGATGATTGCCAAAGACTGAATGCCAAAACTATACTAGGTTAATACCCAACACCAAAAATACACCACTTTACGGTGACACTGTCCGGTGAAACTATTTTCCTAGAAATAGACTTGCTTAAATCATATAACTAAATTCCGATGGTACTGGATGACCTACTGAAACAGCTATCATTATTCAATTCAGATCGTTTGAATTCCAACGTATGTTACTTGGTCTTCGAAACGCAGTACAAATAATCCAGCGCCTTACTGACGAAGTATTCAGCAATACTGATTTCGTACTCAAGTATTCATACTGCGAGTTCGTATAAGGGAGCTCATCTTAGACACCTAGATTCCGTCTTCAACATGCTATGTTCACATGGTTTTACCATGAATATTCACAAATGGCGAACCAGAGTGGAAACAGCTGGACTTTCTAGGCCGCACCACTGTCCGCAAAGGTATTCGCCGGCTGACCATTAAAGGAGAGGCAATTTTAAACATTCCGAAGCCAGAGACTGTAAGACATCTCTGCACTCTGACTGGCCTGGTAAACTGATACTGACGACTTGTTCCCAAATGTCGCTTCACCAGAAAGCAAGTAGGTCTCCGTGAGTCCTCAAAGAGCGTCTTCACTAAGGTGAATAAGCCGTTGGAGATAACACTTATCGAATGAATCACCAACACCTCTTTCAGTTATCTCATTAGGTGCCTTTGAAACGTTGATCAGTGAGATTCTACAACCACTGGGCAACAAACATTAGCAACCACTTGCTTAATCCTTGAGGTGGCTGCAAACATTGGCAACAGGGCACAGTAACTCCGGCACACGGCTTCTGGCTATGTAATGTGCTTCACGTCACTTTCACTATTTGGCGATTGGCACTGAATGTGTCATTTACAAAAACTCCAAACCACTCATTTACTCTCAAAACTCAACATCAGATATTCACCAAGGGAATTGCATCGGAGTCACTAGTATAGAAGGGTGATATATATGCTGTATTCAAGCGCATGTGTACACCCTCTAACCCCCAAATTACTTATTTTACTTGGGCCATATTTAAATTAAACAACAAATTGAATCTACGAAGTATAAAATATATATCGGAAGCAGAAGTTTAGAGAGGTGGTGACCGCTCAACTGTCTAGGGTGCTCGTGCAAACAATCCGACATAAAACGACAGAGTGCCATATGACCTAGATGTCTGTCAGTGCACCTCCAGCCCTATCGATTAACCTGGATAGTGAAGTTTAGCATTCATTATGAATGGGGAGATAAATAAATAAAAATAAATAAAATAAAATAATGGGAAGAGCTTTAGGCTGATGACTTAAGGAGATTCTCTACCACTACAATCTTAACGAGCCTTGTACAAATGTGATTGGATAGTTTTCTCAAGGCTCTCCGAAAGTGTTTTTATACACGCAACTCAAGAATTATGTCAAGGAAGACTAAGTACGTGGCCTTTGGGGATAACGTTTATTTTCACAACCGATTCTCCATCATCTAAGATCTGATATTACACAAAACGTTGATAGCGCAAATCTCACTCACTCTGACAACTAAACTCGGTTTTATCTCTATCCGCGTTCATGTACATGAAATAAAATCACTAAAACCAAGTGTTGGATGTAATTACTTGTCGGTAAAAGCCAACTTCTATCAGACAGAGAGTAGACTAAATCACATGAAACGTAAGAAAGGGCAAATGATTCATCTTGAACCCGGAGATGGTCTAAGAATGATAAAAAATATGTATATGTTGTCCGTCTTCAAGCAGTGCAAGCCTGAACATCATGAACTAGAAAGTGTCATGAGGTTTTGTGTATGGCATCTGGGAAAATATGTAATAAGAACCATCTCATGGATCCAAGATGTCGACTAGTGCGGAAGTTTCCTAAAGAATCAAAAGTACACTCCGTGAAAAATTTGTGCTATGACGAAGCCTAGATTCAGGCTGATGTCAACATTGCGTTTTGATGTATGCTTCATAACTTCCGTCCGGTAGGACTTCGTAGTGAAACCAGTTTTATGTAAGAATATCTAAAGACCACAGTCACTGCCATCACAGACATCAACGGCAATGATTGAAAACATACATCGGCTGCTTTTATTCCTATTTATATATCGCCTAGTCTTACAAAGAACATAACTCAAATCCAGCTGCTCTAATCAGCGTTGGAAACATCAAGAAAAATAGCGCTTCAGGGGATTTTATCATGGAACAGCAAAGATTCAGGTTTCTCTATACTTCCCTTGTTACTCACAGCAAAATATACAAGCCGAGGGCATGCTTTTAACCCCAGAAATATAATGAAGATATGTATGGCAGGTCAAGTAACTACGAAACAAGCACTGGGCACAACGATGGAGTAATACATACGGTATACCATGGAGAATCAGATGACAGTGTTATGTGAACGAAGAGAATTGAAAAAGCTATTTATCAATTATCGGTGGTTTTCAAACAAACAGTGTGCCTATCCTCCAGAGAGGCGTTCTTCGAAACTGTTATTACGCCCTGTTAGCTGGTGGAACTGAATGTAAAGCAACATCTCACAATAATACCTCTCCTGATATTACAGCTGTCAGCCTTGTGGAGTTTCTCAGATATTTTCCACTGTAATTACGATGTCAACGTCAACTGATTACTCCAGAGAATTAAGTACCCTAATAGGTTATCGACAGGTTTCAGTGAATTAGGGGAAAATATGAGTGGTAATCTTCAAAGCCATTTTCAAAGCATGACCTAAATAAATCAAATGATAATGGATCAACCCAACATAAATCTCTGAATAAGCTTTGATAGCTCTGTTCCTAGCTTTTTTTGGGAATTTTTTGAACGCAAACTTTGATTGTAGGATCCAAACAATGATACTGTGCTTCGCGTATAAAACGGATGAGTTAAGGTGAGACAGAAGAGCAGGAATTACAACTGGACCTAAAAATCCAACCTAATATTGTGGAGTGCGGCTAAAAGGACTTTATCTGTATTGAGTTTTGTAATCATGAAGGCTTAATATTAGTGCCCTAGTGCTTCATTTAGGTGCCTCCTGTTTCAGTTTCTCTTCTCTTCTATTGAACTAGCTACTTAAGAATCATTCGGCTGGAGATTCATCAACTACTGAGTAACTGCCTTCGTCCAGAGTTCGTCTCGATACTCGAAAAAGTAAAACTTATTAGAAACAGGGAGATCTAACATCCTCCGGCACTCATTCCAGGAGAAATAATTTAGTGTTTGGCAGGATACTAACCGGCTACCTAAAATATTTCAAGCTAATTTGTTTGTATCAATTTGTATCAAAATTTGCTGGAAAGCCTGAAGGTTGCTCTGAAGGTCATCGTCAAGGTCAGCTTGCCTATGAGCACGTTTTCACGGCGAAAAGTTAGGCAATAGGGCGTAGTCTGAGGTGTGTATCATTTGCTATCATAAGACAATTAATTAATACAACATCACTTACCAGTTAACAATAAACACAAACGAAAGAATTTGCATTCGTGACGTCACCCTTGTCACATATGTGACATATATATTTATTTATTTGACTATCAAGATAAATAACTCGTTAACTTGTAAATACAAATGTACAGAGTGCTTCACTTCATTTTCACTTTATCGTCACCTTGAAGCTCAACAAAGATTCAGACCAGACGTTTTCTTATCACATTAAAGAAAAGGATTAACATAGGCTCCAAGCCTTCTGTCCTCAACCAATAAATCTGAATTAATTCTCTTGCCATAAGTGCCTAAGTAAGAAATAAGCATACTGTCAAATTGAACTTTAGTGTGACTTTTTAAGAACATGAAGAGCTGTGGCTCATCGTTTTAGACGTTCGACTTCCGACCAGTGAGTCCCCGGTTCGAACCACGCTCCACTTCCTGAGGTTAAAGCATCCAGATAGCATCACCACCTTCAGAGAATACCTGTGACTCAATGCTAACTATGTTTATTCGCAAATGGTGGTGAGTGTCATATGATTTATTACATTTTATCTTATCTAACAGCGGATACATCGCACCCCATGAAGCTGATAATTAGTCTGCCTATTGTACGCGTTTCAATATCATGTGCAGCATACTTCTAGGGGTATATGTGCAGTAATTTATTAACGAGCAGAACTATCCCACCTCTTTATGTAATGTCTGAATATTGGCAATTGAATTCTAATAGACCATCAGTCACAGCCATATGGGATACATGCTGTTTTTCCTCACCGTAATTTGACTCACTTTGTTTACTGTAATCTGGTGTTTACAACCGTAACCCGAACCCACATTTTTAGTATTTGTGTGGCATTCACGTGTAAATTGTTTGGCTGGGATTTTTTAGTATACTAGGAACCAGTGCGCGTCAATTCTTGGTGATGTGGCATAAAATCGGTGCAGATTTATGCATTCATTTCTACTTACCAGAGTTTGGAAATGTCCACCAAGCATCATATGATTATTATTTAATTTTCAGATTTATTGGTTGAGGATAGAAGGCTTGTAGCTCTTGTTAATCCTTCTATAGTAAATTTCGATGGAAAACCTTGAACGAATCAGTTGAGGTTGCAGACACCACTTCGCCTGGGAGTCAGTTCCAAGAGTTTATGACTCGGTGTGAGAACCAGTACTCAACAGCAATATGATTTCTTCGCTTTTGAACTCTCCTGCTATGTCCTCTAAGGTGTTCCGACCTGGTGGGAAGGAAAAGAGAATAGGTCAGGTCCGTAGTCATTATTTAAAAATTTAAACGTGATTAAATCTCCTCTTTGTCTACGGTATGACAGTGAGAGGAGATTTAAACTGTCTAGTCTTTCCTCGTATGACAAGATAGTCGTGCCGTGAACCATACGTGTTGCCTTCCTTTGAACACTTTCTAGAATGTGTGAGTCCCCTTTTAGACAAGGACTGGCGGCCTGGATGCAGCTTTCCGGTCTTTACCTCACCAGTAATGTATATAAGGATGTGAACATATCTCTGGTGATTCTAGTAAAGGCCCATAAGGACCTGAAATTACGTGTAGCCACCGCGCGACAGTGTGCTGTAGTTTTTAAGTCGTGGCTAACTATGACACCTAGGTCGAAGTGAGTCTGGGCTGATGGAAGTGTTATTCCCTCTAATTCGTAGGAGCTGGTGCTTGCTTGTCCAATGCGCATTTTGCCACATTTATCGGGAGCATCCATTTTACATCTACGTTTATGACGTTCGCTGCTCTTTTGTGTGTAATTTTCCGAAATGTTGTAACTTGTGCTGCTACAGTTTTTATTAGGTTCCCTGTTGACCATTCAGCTAATCCCTATAGCAGTCAACCCTTTGCTGGTAGATATAATTCTAAGTCGAATTAACAGAAAAAATCGAAAATTTATTCAGTGTATGAAAGATGTCACTGTGTTCTCAAACTCCTTGCGCGTAGCTGTATTGTTTAGTCACGCTTATTTTTTCCCAAACAGTCTTCTTCAGTCAGCGTCGCTCGTGTAAATATTGCTGTATTATTCAGCGAAGGCACCTATAGACGGAAACCTGCAGTGTTTTCCAAAGTAAGCCGTAGTAGTAATTTATTAATGAGACTAAGAAAACTACTCTTCAATATATTTCCGCCTTGGTAGGCACCAGTCAATGAAATCCACAACAGTTGGTCTAAGCCACGTAGGAAGGTGTAGACTTCTTTTCAGGCTGGGGTCCTCGGGACGGTAAAAACCAATGGTTGGAAACAATTGGTGACATGGCTCAAAATCGTTCTCAGTGGCGCAGATGCATCCACTCCTTGTGACTTATGATCTCCAATGAAACTGTTTTGTTCTTCGTTATTACTCCTCCTTTGTCTCACCCCTCTGCTCACTGTTTCGATCATGCTTTTCTTATACTTTCTTCTCTTGCTTCGCGTGCTACACGGAGTATGGCGACTTGAACTGGCGCACATTTGTGCAAAGTTCTATGTCGAAAACAGACAGACAGAGGTCGTCAAATGTCGTTAAGAATGTCGCAACCTTCCAAATGTTAAACGAGTTTTTTTATTCAGCTTAAGGCACTCACCGGAAACCTGATGCTATCTTTTATTTAAGTGTTGTAGTTTCCAAGTTTTACTTCTTTTTTCTCTTTTCGCAAGTTTCGTTATTTAATGTTTTAATGTAATGCCAATATGCATGATTTTATTATTCTCTCAGACCACTGGATTAAAGTGTGTACTTGATTCGAACTTCCCTGAGGTGTTTATTGTGAACAAAATCATCTGGCAGTCGTAATTCATTAGTTAAACTAACCCTATATTAGCTAGTGAGTTGCTATATTATGGTTTCATTTTACTTCACAGATCCTCAGCTAGCTTACACTCAAATACTATCAAAATGTAAATAAGGAAATATCTACCTAACCATCCTGTCAAAACACCTATTGCTAAATTATCTAACCATTTCACCCAGCTTATCTGTTTGCTATGCTTCTAATATATTTCTATTCCAAATGATATCAATAACTCCTTACAAACTTAGTAAATCTGCGTATATTTCGTGGTGTAAGTGTTTTAATACTGTGTAAATGATAAAGCTTTTTAAAGGATTCACAAAATAGGATGGGTTTATGTTTCCGCGTTACATTTACTCTCACGCTGTTTTGCTGTGTAAAGCAGAAAGGATTGTTTAAGTGTGTTTTTTTCACTGTTGATAATTAGTTTGCATCTGAATTCATTAATGTTCATGAGTAGTTATCTTTGCGAATATGACTGTCTGATGTATACTTCATTTTTCTTCAGCTATTCATTTTCACAGGATTTATTACCTCTGACGTCTTCATCAACCCAATATGTTATCATATGATGCTGAAAAATATGTCAACGATGTGAGTATTATTTTGATAAATAAATAGCTAATCCACTTATAACTTGTTATTATATCATAGCTATAAGAACTCGCTTAAATTGTAGACATACGATGTAAAGACTGGGTGCAAACAAACTGGCTCTGACTCTTTCAATGGCTGAGTTTTCTGTGCAATGGACTTTTATTTTCGAGACTAAAAACATAGTTAAATGTGATACATACCGATATTTTTAATTTTATGTCTCCAAAGATTAACTTCGGGTTGATTGTGCAGGTTGTTCATTTTGTAGGCATATGTAATGGTCAAAAAAATTTACTTTAGCAGAAATTCAAAAGTTAGACGATAAAATTTTTATCACAACCTGCTACACAGGTATAATGGAAATAATAATGTAGCTATACAAACAGCCAAGAACTTCTTGAAGTATAAGTTTTCTTGTATAATGTTTAGTGACTGAAATCAAATCATCACAAAGAGAATCAAAAACACTATTTTTAACCGTATATCTAACTTGGTTTGTTACGAATAGTTACTTTGTAACGTGAATGTGTACGACTAAGTGATGAGAGGACATATATTAAGCTTTCTCATATACTGATTTATTCTTTCGTATCTTAAAGATAGTGATTTTATGTAACTGAGTGCTGTATGACTCTCTTTCCCCGTCTCTAAAGCATCATCAGACAAGTGAATTCGTCGGTCCATACAACTTGTACCCCATCTATGTCCGTAATGTCCAAATATAAAAGAGAATATTAATACTTTGGAGACTTTTGGAGTTCAAACAGCCGTAGAATTACTGAAAAACTTTTGATTGAGCTTCTCAAATGCGAAACATTAGTCTTACAGTGAATCAGTGTCTGTCAGAAAGTCCTCAAAAACTAAGACTGACCAGACAGTTCTTCCGTCTCAGTATGGGCAGTATGTGCTGACAACTCTATGAGACGAAAATTAAATTATGAGATGGACATGTCATCATCTAATCCGATGGTGTGTATAACCTAATAACTGGTAATTCCCGACCTTCAGAGGTTATCGATAATATACAAGCACTAAATTTCATAGGTTATAATCATTACAGAGAAATTAAACATTTGTTCACTCTATCCTCATGAGTTGATGATTTATATCCGCATCAAGTTGATTTCATTGTCCATTATTATTTTATTTCAACAAAATTTAGCCTATTATTGAAATGCAATGGGCTGAAAAGTGTTTCCGTCATTCAGAAGCTTATTTCCAGTTGCTTTGTTCAGCTCCCAACTTGTCACAACTAAGACTGACTGCTATTGATGATGTTATATTTGAAGAATTTATGAAGACGTTTAGTGATTTAAATTTATCTACCATTTCGGAAGATTTGTTAAAATCAACGGAGTCCAAAAAAGTAAGTAGCCTACTTATGTAAATATTTCACCTCATTATATATATTTAAACCTTTATAAACAATCGACAGAAAATCTTGGATCTAGATTTCTCGCTTATTGTTACTCACGCTGAACTGTTAAAGCTTGAACAACTCCAGTGGTAACATTCCTGGGTGATACGTATTGAAATCCTTGAAACAGCACTACCCCTCCCCCTAGTTGCAGGTACATATATCTAATGAGTGCCAATAAAACATTAAACTTTAGTGCACAACTTTCTGTTGATTACTCTCAACCATGTAATATCAGTTCAAACAACACCTCTATGGTGAGTCTGTTTGCTTTCTAACCATATTGCAAACTTGACCAGTAGGATTTAATGAGAACTAAGTTTTCAATCAGTACAAATGAGTATTTTTTTCATATTTTAATAATAAGTCTTAGACACAGATTTCAGATTTATTGGTTGAGGATGAAAGGCTCGGAGCCATTTTCTAGTAAATTCATGTGCTTGTCCAAACCCTTCTTGAATGAATCAGTTTAGGTTGCAGACACCACTTCTTCTGACAGTCGGTTCCAAGAGTTTATGACTCGGTGTGAGCACAAGTACTCAACAGCGGTATGATTTCTTCTTCGCTTTTGAACTTTCCTGCTGTGTCCTTAAGGTTTTCCAACATGGTGGGAAGGAAAAGAGAATAGGTCAGGTCCGTAGTCATTATTTAAAAATTTAAACGTGATTAAATCTCCTCTTTGTCTACGGTATGACAGTGAGAAGAGATTTAAACTGTCTAGTCTTTCCTCGTATGACAAGATAGTCGTGCCGTGAACCATACGTGTTGCCTTCCTTTGAACACTTTCTAGAATGTGTGAGTCCCCTTTTAGACAAGGACTGGCGGCCTGGATGCAGCTTTCCGGTCTTTACCTCACCAGTAATGTATATAAGGATGTGAACATATCTCTGGTGATTCTAGTAAAGGCTCTGCGAATTGCCCATAAGGACCTGAAACTACGTGTAGCCACCGCGCGACAGTGTGCTGTAGTTTTTAAGTCGCGGCTATGACACTTAAGTTGAAGTGAGTCTCAACTGATGGAAGTGTTATTCCCTTTAGTTCGTAGGAGCTGGTGCTTGCCTGTCCGATGCGCATGGTTGCACATTTTGCCACATTGATCGGGAGCATCCATTCTATGGACCATTCTGACAATTTGTTAAGGTCATCTTGCAACGTGGATGCATCACCGTTGCCCTTTAGCTGTCTCCAAGTTTTCAAGTCATCCGCGTATAGGACCATAGGGGAGTAGGTGAGCAGAGATAACTCTTTGAAATACAAAATAAATAGGAGAAGTGCGAGTACCGTGCCTTGTGGCACTCCGCTACGTACTGTCGAAGAGGAGAGTTTCGAGTTGATTCTAACCCTCTGCCTCTTATATATGAAGGATTCCCTGAGCCAGTTTAGTAATCTGCCTATCAATAAACACTAAACTATCGAGATGACTAGAGAATAAGATACCTAGTGGCTGTAAAGACAATATCAGACAATCACTTAATGTTGCATCATTTGCGAATTGTGTCTAGGTTATAATTAACAAATCAGAAATTTAGTTGACGAAAGTGTTTCCGGTAGATAACAATATATTCCAGACAAGTATTTGGTGCAAGTTAAGATTTGTTTTTTATAATTTCAATTTAAATATAGCTATCAATGTATTCTTTATATATGTGATGTTGACAGCATAAATGCTGATGCTTGAATACTTCATGTAAAAACGTTATTATCACCCTGATAGTCAGTCATAATGCGTATTGCTCACACAACTTTGCAAAGTTATCCGTTCAATCTTATTATTCTCTATCACATTTATCACTGACAACAGTTTGATATTATCGTTTTGAAGCAATATAAATAAATAATAATAAAGCAATAAATATTTAAGCGTGTTGATTGTGAATAACTCAGCTACACATTTGCTCACACCACCGATTCGTGTATAGACTGACTTTCATTTCATGTTTTGTTTGTCTTTTTTTTTCTTAATTCAAATTATATAGAAATGGTGGATATTTTGTAATAAATTTGAAAATAAAGTTGAAGACTTCAACTTTGGAACTTTGTTGAGACTTGATGCTGCGAAAGGCTATTGTCCAGAAAACACATGTGTTGGTAAGAAATATTTTTATTTCTCTTTCTCATGTATTCTAATTATTATTATCATTATTTTTACAGTGCCTAGAATACAATTCCTTGCTATAGAAATTTCGCGTAACCGTCTTCATATCAATAATCAAGAGGAATTGAAACAATTAAAAGAATAAGCAACTTCACTTGTTCATTCATTTGTATATACATATATTTATTCATCATTGTGGTGGTTGTTCTCAAACATTTATATGTTGCCTTTTATTGGTAGTCTAGTATCATCGTTGTTTCTTACGTTGAGTTTTAAAGATTCTAGACAAAATCAAAACCCAGATGGGTATACTTTATTCAGAAATGTATTGTTGGCCACACCTTAAAGTGTTGTACGTGCTTATGCACACAATCAAAGAAATAATACTTTTTTATCAGTTTTTTGTCAAATAAAATTATTCTATGGTAGATATATAATCTACCACAATACCCGAATTCTATTCTTCTAGTTTGGAGCATTTTATAAGTCAGTTAACTAAAACATAATTCATATGTACCTAGGTTAGTGAGTCCCAGTTATTGTGTGAAGGCTAATGGCAGTACCCACCAGCTTCGGCTAAAGTAAGTGTAACTGAAACCGTTGACTAAAAGTCCCATGCTGAAACTAAAGAGCAATATCATTTTATCCACGGAAATACGCACCTGTTTTGTTGCGGAAAAATTGACCGGAAACCAATAAACAATAGAACGACCGTCATTAATTTTTCATACAGCTATGCGTAGTGATACCTCAAAGCACAAGATTGCATGACCTTTTCGTACCTCCATACAGTGGAGATCACTATACGTTTGTACGGCTTTTGAAAATATCTCCGTTGACAAGAAGTAGATCGTCTTTAGTGAACCGCACTTACAAATGCTGCATCATGGTGCTTAAATATTTACCAGATCACCTCTGATTAACTGGTTTTCGATAGACAGAACAGTCAGTTCTTCCTACTTAGAAATCAAATTACCTTACACAGTCTCTGAGTTAAAATATGATGCTGGTAGTGAAACACACCCTCAAACCTTAAGCCTCATAGGTCTAAGATAGACTTCGGATGGCAAAACCAACACTGCAGTGTTGCTGTCATGCTTTTAGAAATTGGTGCGCATACACCCAATCATTTTCAGGGGTTCTATCGTAAGGATGAATGCGGACACCCTTTCAACAATGCTGCCGAGCATAAACAGCGGTTGCCGATCGGCCAAACATAACTTGGTTTGTATGCAATAAGGTGTGAGCATTTAGCAGATTCACGGCGGTTAAAGAATTCTCCTCTAAGTGAACCAATTTATCTGGGTCTGCTAAACTGGCAGTGGGGAGGGGAAGTTGTGCTTTGTTGAATTACCATTATGCGTTGCGGTAACTTAAGTTCCAAGGAGTGATCACGAATTTGGAGGAGACCAAATGCACGGAAAAGGCTGCAGTCATTCGTGATACCTTACCTGGCAGACACACAGCCTACAACCACTGGCACTAACTTTAAACACAAGGAAAGACACTGTTTGACTTGGAGACCCCCTTCATCAAACCAACGCTGGACACAAATAGACCACATAGCAATAAGCTATCGTTGGCGTGGGTCAGTAGGAGATTGTCGCTCCTTCTGGAACACGTGTGTAGATACCGACCATGCACTGGTCCGCGCTCGGGTGTGCTTACGACTGAACGGACGTAGGAAACAGCTGGCGGTAAAACCATCACGTCCCCAGCTCGATCAGGAAACGAAATCCGTATTTGAGGAAGAACTAACTAAACACATATCTGTGTTCGACAGCTGTGCTCACCCTGAAGAAGCTTGGAAAAATATCCAGGCAGCCATAGATACAGCTGTGAATAAGGTAAACCCAAAGGTGAGTAAAAACCACTGGATCTCCACCGCCTCATCCGAACTGATAGATGCTAGAAGACTTATTCCGGCGAGCTCCGAATTCAATGAGGAGCGAAAGCTGCACAAGAGGAAACTTACGAAAAGTCTCCGCAAGGACCGTGAACAGTGGTGGGCGACAAAAGCCAAAGAGATGGAGAAAGCTTTGAGGATAGGCAACTCTTTGGACTCATCAGGGAAACGGGTGGGAGAAGACAAATCATTAGTGAGACAATCTCGGAAAAAAATGGCACTATAATTAGCTCCCAGGATAGACGACTGGATCGTTGGAAAGAGCATTATGAGGAGCAGTTTAATTGGCCCACAGCCACGCTCAACCTTCCGAGCATCCAACACCTCCCTGAATGGGATATAAACACAGGTCCTCCGTCACTAACTGAGGTTACTAAAGCTGTCACCAATCTGAAACTAGGCAAAGCAGCGGGACCTGATGGAATGACGCCAGAGGTATTTAAGTACGGTGGAGACAGCTTACTGTCCGGATTAACTGAGGTACTAGGCAGCGTCTGGGAATCAGAAGAAGTCCCATCGGGTTGGTGTAAGTCACTGATTATCCCCATATACAAGAAGGGAGACAAGTCTTCCTGTGATAATCACAGAGGGATTAGCTTGACTAATATAGTATCTAAAGTCTTAGGCTCAATAATCATGCGTAGACTGAGTGGTGCTCGGGAAGCACAAACACGAGAGAGCCAGGCAGGCTTTAGACCAGGAAGAGGGTGTATTGATCATATCTTCACCCTCCGACAGATTCTAGAACATATACGCATTCCTACCGGCGTCCAACAGTCATTATATTTCTTGACCGAAAGGCAGTCCAAGAGTGACATAATAAGGTGAGCAACATTGAGGTTAGGCGTAGAGTTCTAGGTAAACAGGGGAAATCAATCGACGAAGTCGTGAAGCTACAAAGACTGAGATGGTTAGGACATGTGTTACGTATGCCAAGCCATAGCCTCCCTCGACGAGCAATGTTAGCGGATATAGGGTCAGGCTGGAAAAAAGCTAGCGGCGGTCAAACAAAAACTTGGCATCAGTCAATGAAACCCACAACAGTTGGTCTAAGCCACGTAGGAAGGTGTAGACTTCCAGGCTGGGGTCCTCGGGACGGTAAAAATCTATGGTTGGAAACAATTGGTGACATGGCTCAAAATCGTTCTCAGTGGCGCAGATGCATCCACTCCTTGTGACTTATGATCTCCAATGAAACTGTTTTGTTCTTCGTTATTACTCCTCCTTTGTCTCACCCCTCTGCTCACTGTTTCGATCATGCTTTTCTTATACTTTCTTCTCTTGCTTCGCGTGCTACACGGAGTATGGCGACTTGAACTGGCGCACATTTGTGCAAAGTTCTATGTCGAAAACAGACAGACTGGCAACAAGGATAATACCAAGCTCGAATTTTAGCTACTTTTGCTTAGTGTTTATCAGTGGTAAACTCCTTTCCACACTAAATCACCTACAATGGACATACTTCTACTGAAGCTCACTGCTGCTTGAACTAAGCGACCAATACTCCAGTCCCTAGCTAAAAACACAGACATGTGACGCACCAACTGATGCTTACCTTACGCAAATATCCTTCATTACATATCGCCATATCACAGGATGATCACCTCTCCGCTTTTTTCAGGTCTACCGGACAGCGATCGTTACAGACACCTCTAGAGTGACGTTCGTAGTACGTATCCAAACAACCGGACCCGCATTCCATAGTGACCTTCACTGTGCCCAAGGTTGGCATCTAACAGACCATATCAGTGATACAATGCTTCTTGCTCTTGGTGCCTCGGATGAGCTGGATGCCTTCCGGCTATTGTTAAATACAGTGGCTGATTCCAACGCAGTCGCAAGTTTTGACTACCGACTTACGGGGTTCTTACGTAGGCGTTATTTTTCCCCGTCACATCTGCTGATTCACTTTAAAAAATTGCGCATCATATTCATTTATTTTCAAAAATCCAGTAGAAAGTGAAGACAAAACGTGATAGTACACGTGCAGGCCGAAAAGTTACGATACTGAAGGGGAATGCTCTAACAAATCTGGTGGCATCAAGATGTACGAATTAAATGCTTTTGCACACCAAAGGCAATAAGAGAAATATAAAATCAGGTGCTTAGAAATATTGATTAGTAAAGTCTGATTCAAAGCAACTGTAAAGTACAATCTAACGCATTCGGTAGTTGAACGTTGCATCAATTGAGGATAATTCTCCTTCAAATTCCACTTTAATGTTGATGTCAAGATCCCGCTGTAAAAAAGAAAAAGATTTCGAGATACCTTATGTGAAAAGTACATATTAAAAGATTGAAAATGTTCCATTGTTTATTTTTCTTGCTCGAATAGTTTACAAGTAGTAGGACAGGTAATTTAGACATCTCATCCACCTCAGAAAATGCTTATTACAGGTAAATTGTTAGTGTGGTAAGTTTCGGAACTATTCGAGTGAAAATGCAGATGCGCACTTTGCATGACTTAGTTGTGTAGTACACTCTATAGATTTAACGCAACTAAAGTGCATAGATGCACCTGTATGAACCTATGTCACTACAAGACAAATAAGTAACCCAAGCGTTGTCTAATTTCAACTGAAACATTCAAACTGTTTCTGAAAGAGCTTACACAACTGACCCCCTTCGTGCATACATTTATCTGTGTATATAGTATTCGGAGGAAACACCATGATAGTGTAACTCCATTCCAACTCAATACCTAAATACTACGGTTACACATATCCAAAGGCTGACAAAGCTGCTAGATTCCACTACTTCAGTGAGACCAGACACTGTAACACACGCCCATTAAGCAAAAGACTGCAACTCTTATGAATAATATGGGAAATCGATAATATACGTGGACGATGGTTGAGCTGTGTTGACACTCATCGCTGTCAGCCACTTGATACTTGGTTATCCAGGAAATACTAAATAATCCAGATGGTTCGTAGCAATGGCGCACTGAGAGTATTAGATATTTATTCTCTAAAGTACTTAAGAGATATGAGATATGCAGGAGACTGTTAGCCGACCAGTATGATCGCTGTCTTAATTGACCCCTACTTTTAACAAAAAGTCATTCAACCTTTTATCGCTTGCATATAATTTGTTCATCTCAACCTTTAAACTTGTAAATGAGTAGCCTTTAAGGTTGCCAATCACACATTCACCTGCCATTAGGGCGTATTTATGCACAATGTGCAGAACACGATCGAACTTACAGTCTTACAGTTTGCAAGTCAAACGATATGGATTGGTCTGGTTACTGTTACACATGACTTAAGTTAGAATCTCAAAGATAGGCAACATTTTAAAAAATCCTATAGCATACAATTCGACTTACATTGTTTCGAGCGTTTGGTTTAATAGACATCAGACCATTTATTATTTCGCCTTTCTTTACAGTAAGACAGTCATCATCACCATTGTCTAGATAAAATACAGTCTGTTTCCAGTGTGTGTAGCGACGTTCGTCCGGACCTATGTTAAAGGAATAATATTCACGTGAAGACTATTAAAGATATCCAAATGGGAGCTCTCCATAATGTGACAATTTCAAAGTTTTCTACTTTAGCACGTTTACTTATTTTTTAGGCATGTATCCTGAGACTTCGGCGAGTAAGATTCTCGTCACGAAGTGTAGTAATTTCAAAAATATTCGCCTTTTTTGTCCACCGTGGTATTCATCCAGTTAAGTATGCATAAACGTATGAGTTACAGACTGCGAGATTAGGTGGTACTACCTCCTACGAGCGAAGTACGGTTGGATAACGTGGCTTTGTGAATGGAAGCCGAATGCTAAATCAGTGATCCACATCAAGAAACTTTGGTCTAGAACTTGCAAATATATTCTTCCTGAGAGACAGTATTATGTGACAGACGGTTATATATATTCAAATAACTGAAAACTAACCTGTTGAGAAGCCTGTCGGCTTGTGACAGGCAGTGAAATCGATATTGAAAAATGTCACCAACGCTTGGATGTAGTCATTTCTCTTGCAGGTGAGTGTGAAAGGCGAACTGAATGTCAAATCAGGAACTGTGATAGTGTACATATCAACTTCTTTAACCAAGCAGCAATTTGTCACAACTTGATTAGGATCAACCACATCAACTAGTGGTTCTGTGAGTGCAACTTTTCTTATACAGCTCATGTCGAAACCATAAACACTATCCCACCCTGGAAAATGAAATAAAATAATCTATTCAAATGCCGAGAAGTAAAATCACAGGACACAGATGAAGATATCAAAATAAAGATTACTATATAACCTCTTATTCCCTTTTGGTCAACGCGTTACATGTAATCACGCTTTCGATATTGTCTATGTCTAGTTTGACTCAAGTCCAACAAATTGTGACCAAAAAATAGGGTGAGGTCTCAAAAAATATTGCGAAAATTGCAGTTTACAAGGCACGAGGATAATCACCAAACCAACGGGAAGAGACATACACACCAAGGGTAATATTCTGCACACAGACTAAGTGGTAATCGTACGATTCTTTGTAGCCCAATTTCCTATCTTATAACAGTCGAGAATTCTCAGTCTTTAACTTGTCCCCAAAAAACAACAAATCGTAGTCCCTTTCAAGGGACCAAATCTTTTTCACCATGATCACCATCATTATTGCGAGTTACCAATATATAATGAAACAGAATCTTGCGTATGAGTTGAATAAAAGAATTCAGCTACTAAACTCACAATTAATCTTTTCATCCTTGTATTGTCTATCTTCTATAGCACACACATAAAGAGTTGCACGATCAGGCATTATCAAACCTCCAGGGGCCTACAGAAAAAATACAGAAGTACGTATACTTGACTAACGCATACATTAACTGCGCAAGTATTAACTTAACGTCTGCATTTAGTAGTATTACGCTATTCGTCCCCAGCTTCCCAAACGGAACAAAATATTTAGCAGCACACAACCATTTGACTATCATATAAAATTTCTAAACATCATCGGCAGTGCCCGCAGGCTACTTTTTTCTCATGATCTTCATATCACCAGTTACCCCTAATTTTCATTACCTTCCGGGGTAGAGCATGTAATGTCACATGAATGTCTCAGCATATTTACAAAGGATTTCAACTTGTTTTCGCACTTTCGCAAAATTGTATCAATGGTCAGTGACACATATCGATATGGTTTGTATTGTCACTAACAAACAGCACCTCACCTTGGATGAAAATAATAAAAATGTCGAGTCTTATATGACAGTTGCTATCAACCTGCGATTTCCGAGCTAAAAACTAAATAACTCTCAATTTTACACTAGACGCTAACATTTTGGATACCATAATTGACCAAGAAGCATGCTATTATAGTTCGGTATTGAATCTTGCCTACTCGTACGTGCAGGGACTGATAACAGTATGAATGCCTACCATATTGTATTCGGCCAAATTCTACTACTCAGGCATGAGTGACTGCGACCGCCGGTGAACCTTATTACCTCAGGTTATGGGAAATCTGAAATATGCCTTGCTGGTACTTAAAATTCATCAGTTCAACAGTGGGGAGAACTGGGAGTTAAGCTCCTACTAATTTCATTCGGTATGCTGAGTTCACACAATCTACTATCTCTTATGTACTTTGGGTCTTTTGGACAACACGCATTGCCTATCCACAGACACGTCGTGTGAGGGAAGCCTAACCTCCTATGGTTGTACGTCCATTGTCACTATTCACCACTTGTTAACCAACCTATCAGAGTTCGAAAATATTTTAAATTATTGTAGTTGCCTATGCCTACTGTTGCTCACAAATAACCAACAGAGTATAGGGAAATAAACGGCATGTCTAACGCTTACCAGCCACTTGTCTCTGGCGAAAATGACGGTGTTTAACATTGATTCGTAGAATAAGCAATAGCCCATCCATTCACTAATGAGTATATCGACTTTCGGGAATTCAGGAGGTAGCTCTACTTCTTCAACTTTCCCTTTGATCAATGTTATCTCTATAAGACAAAAGTTGCGGTAAGTAAAATGTAAGGAATATAATTTCTCCTTGTTATGTAGAAACTTACTGTCAGCCATATTGTTAGCTTGGACGACCTCCCTTGCCCGATCAATAATGTTAGAACACTCAATCTAAAAGCAATAAACGTAAAAATACACAGCTACCCCAATCGCATGCTTTGCACCCGCTTTGATTGCAAACAAACAGAGAATTGCAGTCCCACACCCTACATCTAGTACCACTTTATCCTTAACGAGGTGTTTGTTGTGAATTAAAGCACTACGATACGTGAGTGTTCTAATTTCGTCTTTCAGCATTTCCTGAATGGAATATCATAGAGCACTGGAAACATACCTCGTGAATTCCAAAGTGGGCATATGAGTCGAAATAATAATCTTTCGATGTCATTTCTGATGACTCGGTTGTGGGTTCCGTAAGCATGTTTGATGTGCCAACGCTTTTATCGCCGGATTCATCGGTCTTGCCGTTCATAATGTCACGACGCAGCTAAATTTAATGAAACTAATGCAACCACGCGCGACAACTTAGTGGTTGCGCGCCGATGCGAGCCAGCAGAAACAAACATGCTCAACTTTCACTATCATAGCAGTTTTGATAAAACCTGGAGTTTACATTCGTCTGCATCACCCCATGAAGTTTTATTCTTCCCGTCTAAAGCTGCAAGAAAAATGGTGGTCACTGACAAAAAGTAGTCCTTGAAAGGGGTCCGTTATCATCAATAGTAAAATTTAGAAACTTTGATGTTAAATAATCGTTAAAACATGCCTTATTTCAGTAGCTTTGGAGAAGGTCTATCCCTGAGGGATAAATTATCCTCTGATGATAGACGTATCTGTGAAATCACTAGTATTCCTTTGACATTTGGCTCTGACATACGTATAATAGAATTCATTCAAAATTCTTTAACACCAGCCCTGATTAGTTATGCTTCTGTCTTGGTACACTAACAAAAATCTCATAAATATCACAGCCCAACTGCTTTTTTCGTCTTGCCAATTTTCCTTCGACCATAAGTTGGGAGGAGGGATAGTTGTCACATACCACAGTCACTATCTTGACCTCCCCTGCGAAAAATTATCGCATTAGTGTCCTGGTCTACATCATTGATGCTCAGAGCCAGTATTAAACAGCACTGGTATAATCAACAGTCTTCAGGTTGTCATCTGAAACAAGGGTAATTTTCCTGGATTTAGAACTACAATTTGTGCTACCGTGGTACAACTTTTTGAACTTTCTCTACATTAGTGCATTTTTAAGCTCTACGTGGCGACTAAAATACAAATAATCCGTTGTTATAACAGTTTTGCAGTGTGAGTTCTAATTTGAATGACTATGAAAGTTCATCTTTCACCCCTCATGGAAAGTAGCTTTATGTACGTGCGATCAATTGACTCCATACCCTCAACTAATGCCATAATTTCGATGCACCATTCCAACTTAACAACTGTTTACATGGCAATGGATCCCATATTGATCCAACGATTCACTTAGTTATACATAGCGGGCATAGTTCTGTAATTCAGCTTAGCCTCGCATGTCCTCACACGAATAAATAGTTTTCATCAGTTCGCAACTTAGCCCAGTTTGCCAGCTCGCTAGTTTTCTAGTCGGTCCCAAGCCTGGGTAGAGAGTGAGGCTTCGGTGTGGAACTTAACAACCTACCCCACAAACACAACCAAACTGCTGCAGAAACTTCAACGCACAATGAAAGTATTAAAAATATAAGAAGGAAACATATTTGCTGCTTGAATTCGAGGAGGAGAAATGACACAGACAGCTAGTAAAATCCTTAAGCAGTCGGCTGATTTGCTTACTGTAGATGGAAGCAAGAATACGAATGAAGACGTGGAATGTACGTACAACTGACCAGGCTGGAAATTCTGTCAAGCTAGCCAAATAAGTGAAAAGATACTGGGTAGAAGTGGTCGGAATCTGCAGGACCATGCGGAATGAACTCGGACTACCAAAACTGGCAACTGGTGAGTCGGTAATCTACTCCGGTTTGCTCATCTAGACAACAACCACGAGCACACTAAGTGGCTCGTGATTTCACTAGTGCCAGCCATATTCCTAATGCAGTAGGAAACAGTTTCATTCAGGATCACGACAGCAAGATTCAATCCAAAAGAAAGATAGGTTACAATTATCCAGCGATTCGCACACTATTACACACAACTCGTAACAAGAGAAAAAGAAAGATTTCTGTAAACGACTATAAACATTAATTGGCAACACCTCAACTGGCGACATAAAAATCCTTATAGGCGATATAAATGCCGGTCAAACTGGCGGTAGATAATACAGGAACAGAACTCATCATTGGTCGAGAGGCTCTGACTTGGTGAATTGAATGAGAACCGAAAATTATTTGCAGATTTCTGCGCTTTTATTTGTCTGGTGATGTGAGATAGTGTGTACAAACACAAGGATATATACAAAGCGGTTTGGATTTTGCCTGATGGACACACCAACAACCAGATATATTTCTTCTAGGTGCTGCCCAAGGAAGTCGAGGCGCACTCTACGGGATACAAAGTCAAGGAGTGGAGCAGATGTGGGCTTCGACCAATATCGAGTTCGAGGAACCTTCAAAGTGAAGTTGAAATCCTTCGGAACAACTGTAAGCTGGCCACAACTGAAGTTCAACATTCAGAAACTGAAGGATAAAGGTACAATCGATACCTCCACTACAGATCGAATCCGAGCAAAGTCGGAGACACTACTTGGTATCCCTGAAGAAACCTGCATGGAAGAACATTTGAGCAGTTACGCTGAACTTTTGGGTCACAATAGGGTGATTCGCTAAATAGATATACATATGCTTATCTATTTTTGTTGAGCGACTCGCCCAGGTGTTTCCCCATTTCCACATTTGTCACCAATAACTCTTTCACTAATTAGTTATGGTTAAATATATAAAAAGACACGAGCTCAGTTACCTGCTAACCTAATGACTGATAGCACATAGATGCTTGCAACAACGAGCAAAACAACTCCCACAGAATATGGAAATGAGTGACACATCTCGCCAATAGGCCACAAGTGTCGAGTTGTCCCGTCACTACCATCTACTGTGGCTGAAACTGACAGCAAAAATATGCTGACGACTGATAGTAGCATTGCTTCTACAAATTCAGCACCTAGTCCTGACATAGACCTCTTCACCACACATTATGTACGCATCACAAAACTTCGGATATCAAGTCCACCTTCAACACTTACTTCAGAAATAGAGCTAATAAAGCTGTCTGTATAAGAGCCGAAGACTTAGATGAGGGTTACAAAGTGTAGTAAGGCCGTGAATGCAAGACGCTCAGAAAATTTGGCTAGCTTATCCAGACTATCAACGCAGGTGAGTGGCATAAAATCGCAGGTTTGTGAGCATTCTGGCGAAATTGACACAGAGTCGACAATTAAAGTAGAGATCCTGATAGAATTAATTACAACAGAGGTTTTCAAAAGACTAAATACTGAATTGAGTGTGGTAGTCTACAACATATCAGGTAATGAGGGGTTGACAAAGGTTCAAAGTATCTTACGGCGGCAAAATTGACTAACTTCCAAGCAAAGTGTCACGGACTGAAAAAGACTCAACACAACCACTGATGCCCTATACGCCTTCAGTTAGAAACACAGACAGGGGCTAAGAAGTTCACCAATTCACAACGTGTCCTTTCACAGGATACGAGTTAAAAACAAATAAAAATTATAACAGATAAGAGTGTGATTAGAAGACGTGCTTACCATCACCTCGGTAAACCTAATGGTAAGAAGGATGAGAAACCTCAAGTCACGAAAATTGATAAACCCATGTCCAACGAAGTAGAACTCATAGCCACGCTGCTCTCAAATCTCACAAAAGTAGCTTCACAGGACACGATACCAGCCGAAAGGCTGATGGATTATAACCTAACTCCTATATTAACCCCTCCACCCTCTAGTGTGGATCTAGATATGTTTCTGGATAGCCCTAAGACAGAAACCAATGCCTCTCGTAAGTCGATAACATCCTCTCCTAGCCATAACATGAGAATTCAAATGGAATTCGGTAAAAAAGCACGCCGAAATACATCACCCTTAACGAAAAATCCCCTACATTTTCAAACCCCTCAGAAGAATCCACGCTGTAGGGTGGCTAATATACAAAACTATGCTAATCACCGCATTAAAAGCACGAATAAGGCCATGCGGTCCACGGACAGTAACGACACAACTTGCTCGCATTCTGCGCTGAGTCAAATTAATAGCTGGTGTAGCAACACCATCACGTAAAATGGTGCAAGTGACGACACTCAAAGTTCAGCTCCCAACCACTCTGGATTTTCAAAGTATGACACACAAAAAAACGTTTACAGAATATACGGAACAAGCCTGCTGCGAATTAAACCTTAGAGCGACAGTGCATAAAATGAAACCCATATAAGGACACTTGGAATGTCTCCAAATATTGGGTGGCTAAATAAGTCATAGCCATCACATGGTACCAGTGATTTTTTATCCGCTGCATCCCTGTCACCACTGTCCGAACAACTGCTGGGGACGTCAACTCTTCTGAACCCGCAGCACTAATGTCGGCTCTCTGTCGGGAAGAAAACAGACACAGTCTAGTGCACACGGAATTATTAATCACATCCAGTGCTTGTGCAAACACATTAAATAAAAGCTCCTGCCCAAGATGGTAACTCGATAGGCATAGATGGACGTGCCACTTACATTAGGCGTAACACAGGGTTGTCATGCCACGCAGAACCAGTGGATGCCGGTACACAGTTGAGCCTGACTGATGGGCTTAAACATTTCAAACACTACTTCAAATCTCAACTCTACTTAATCCCCATTAATACTGGATCTATCCTAAACAGACTACCGATGGACAGGGCACACACTGGTATATAAGCCTCCAATAATCATCATTACAGAATTTTGGCGCCATTCCAATATACCAGACGAAGAGATTATCATCGTTGGGTACACGCCCTTTCGATGTCATAGGACGAGTGGTAAGTGATATGTATCCATATATATATATATATGTGTGTGTATGGTGGTCTCTCTTTCTGTTGCTCTCCTAGTCTGTGACCATTTCACTTTGATGAACCTGTCTCCTTTAGCAATGTATACTCCCCTTATATTATATATAATATGTGTGTTTGTTTGACATGTGTGTTATATTTGCTAGGTATATATGGATCGATATTCCATTATAATTAGCCAATCATGTTAAGACTGTCTATTGATTTGTTCATTTTGGATATTCGCTCACACACTTGTTCGGACATTCATATATATTTTTGCTCTCACACTATTGTGTGATATACATATTGATTCCCCTTGTGTTTGGAAAATAGAAGTATCATCGCAAACCTAGTGGTCTTCTGATTTCCGTCTTTCTTGCGTCAGGACTATTAAATTCTCGACCAGTACACAATAATAATTTGGCGACGGGTACATAACAGTAAGAGAAGAGGCTGTCATATGTACTTCCTGAGCACACTGTATTACAGCTGGGAATAGAGAACTCAATGACGTGCACGACACCCTACGGGTCAATGTACACTTCAAAAGTTCTACACAATAAAAGGATGCATATACAGAGCCCCGGAATTTTTAGTGATTACGAGAGTTAACTTATAGATGCGCTG